GAGCTCAGGAATTTGAGATGAGCCTGAGCCAAAGCAAGACCCCATCTCTACTAAAAATATAAAACTAGTGTTGTAGCAGGCCCCTCTAGTTCCAGCTACGTGGGAGGCTGAAGCAAGAGGATCACTTTAGCATGGGAGTTTCAGGTTGCTGCGAGCTATGATGCCACAGGGCAACAGAGCGAGAGTGAGACTCTGTCTCAAAATAAATAAATAAATAATAAATAAAATAAAATAAAATAAAAACTTCGGTTCTCTTGTGTGGTCAGCTTTAAGGAAGAGAGGTAAGAAGAAGAGAGAGAAGCCCAGTGATATGAGCAGAAGAGTAGAAACAGGTCCCAACAGCCTCCAGGACAGAAGGAAGCCCCAGGGAAAGCAAATTCAAGGAGACAGACCAGCAAAGGTGGGAGGGAATGGAACTGCAGGGAGGTGAAGAGCGAGGGGAGATTGGTGAAGAAGGTTCATCAAGACCAACAACAGAACAGAAAGAATAGAAACAGGCTGGGTAGTGGCTCACGCCTCTGAGGACTCTGAGAGGCTGAGGTGGGTGGATCCCTTGAGCCCAAGAGTTTGAGGTTGCTGTTAGCTATGATGCCATGGCACTCTACCAAGGGCGACAAAGTGAGAGTCGGTCTAAAATAAATAAATAAATAAATAACAGAACAGAAGGGAAAGAATAGAAAGACCCAACTGTCAGGAAGATACGCATGAACGCACACGTGCATTCCTGGGAACTTTTCTTACTAATTGCAAAGTTACTTAAAGCGTTGCATGCACGTTACACTTGTGCTGTGGATCCCATCTGGGCAGGGGGCTAAGGGGGTGGGCCACACCTGAAAAACCCTGAGTTTGGGAAGGAAATTGAAGATCATGAAGGTGGTTGCCACTGAAACCCCTGTAGGTGCTCATATGTAGTGGTAGCCCATTGCAAGCCAAGGTTTCACAAAAGTCCCTGAAGTTGCCACATGTAGAGAAATATTTACAAAATATTCATTACAAAATTTTACAAAGAGGTGGCCAACACATAGAGAATATTTTGTAAATTTTATAATGAATATTTTGTAAATAAAGCTTTCATTTAGCTACAGTCTCCCATTTTCCCTACCTATGGGAACTTCAGGGCTAATTTCTGGGCTGACTCTCAATACCCACACACCCTGGTCTCCACAGAGGCAGTGGTTAGTCTGAGCTGTGAACTGCAGGGAACAATGGAACAGAGTGTCTTTCAACTTCAGACAATCCTTTCACCTTGAGGGGGCCTTACCTGCTTGTCTAAGCAAAGCAGCAAAGCCACATCCTCTTCTGACACACAGCCTGGGTCATATCCTTAGGGAAACAGCATGTGGAAATGTCTGAGGTCATTAAGACTTCGTTTTTCTCTGTGAACCAGCCTGCAATTAGTTCGCTCTTCTCTCAGCTCAAGTTCATGGGCTCTTATGGCACACATGGTAAATAAGGTCAACACAACAGTCTCCTAATCCTCGTCTTAATTTTGTGGGATTGGTATCATTCTAGGAAATGACTCCTGACCTACTTTTCCACACCTGCTTTCACTGCCATCAACTTTCTTTTACTACTTTAACAGTCATTTCTTGAATCCATTTTTCCTGGGACTGTGGGATACACAGAACAGGAGAAAAGGACATAGACAGAGAAACGATTGGCAAACAGATACATAGTGGGACAAGGAAAGTAATGTGCATTATGGCAAATCTGCATTTACTATTTGTCCTTGGTAGGGGAGGTAAAAATGAAAAAAAAAAAAAAATGAAAGGCCCTCCAAATAGTTAAAATTCACAGGAGGCCATGGCTTATTAACATACATCAGAAGTACTGTCTAAGTCTTAAATTTTGATCATTTAGCTGGAAGCTAATGCTAGGAACAGCAAGACTGTCTTGAAATGTTCTTGATGAATGCATTATCTTTTCATTCTACAAAAATGAAAGAAAGGGAAATAACTTCAGATGAAATCAAATGGGAACTGGCACAGGAGATAGTTACGGCTCCTCAGGAAGAAATAGAGAGATGCTATCTGTCTTGTAAAGATATTTTAGACAACTTTCAAGAAGTGGGCTAGGTACAACCAAGTCGCTCTATTGATTATGCTAGATTGGATAGTACTATCAGGGGCTTAAGACAGATCTGAGCATTTAAATTGTTTTATGACAAACTTACTGTCTGTATGCAATAGACTGCTTTAAATATTAACTTTCTCTATTCATATTTAATATACAAAAGGCAGAGTCTATTCACAGGTAAGTGACCTGTAAATTTTCATCAGAAAAAAAAATAAAAACTCTTTCCTTAATTTATTTATTGGAACTACAAGGTACAAGAAAATACTTTTAGGGAAGGAAAATATATGTTGCTTAAAAATTAATGATTTAAGAAAACCAAGTTTTTTCTTCAACTAAGTATGCAATAGATATGTAAATGAATGGCTGCAACACAGACAGATCATAATTTGTGATACATGAATTTTTAAATTAAAGGGTTTTTTTTTTGTTTGTTTTTTGTTTGTTTTTACAGAATTGTAGATTCACAGGTGGTTGTAAGAAATAATGCAGAGAGATTCCGGAATCTCTTTACCTCATTTTCCTTAATGGTGACATCTTTCAAATCTATAGTACAATGATAAGTGTTTGCTATTTTAAAAAAAGAACACCTGAAATTGAGTATTCAGTGTGGAAATTATCAACTCCTCTTTAATTTAGCCTGTACTAATGGGTCCTCCAAACAAAATAGAGAGACTGAATCTTCATTTCTCCAAAATGTTGGAAAATTTATGAACTAATTTGGCATCCACAGAATGAAAGAAGTTATTAGGTTTGTTCTTTAAAACACACACAAAAAAGTTGATTTCTGCACTCAAGTTTCTAAGCCATCATAAATCAAAACTCTACCAGGAGATCAAAAAAAAGAAAAAAAACCAACCAATTCCATGTTCTTGTTTCAAACTGCATATAACTGGTTGTCACTTTTTAAAACCCCTCTTACAGAATCATCTTATTTACGAGATATTGGCCTATCTAATTTTATGTTGTGAATTTTACAGTAATAAGTAGTTTGAGAAGTAGGAGATTTATTTCTGCTTCTCAGAACACTATGCTTCTGACAAAGACGTGTTCACATTTGGATAGTGAAAACCAAGCACACGTACTCTGAGATGTGCAACAAGTAGGGATCACTCCGGGAAGTCAGGAGAGTGACAGAGATTGATAATCAGCTTCTGGAAGACCAAGGTCATGAATCAACTTGCATTGAGTGAACCCTACATACGTCTAAAACCTGTCATTGGTGATACGGGGCTGAATGCTGTCACTGAGACGTGTTATCTTTGCAGAAGGCTGTCAAGCATTGCAAGTCAAGTAGAAAACCCTATTAGAGAGCCGGCCGAATTGCCTTTGGCAGGCTTCCGGAATGTGGCACTGAGGCAGCACTCAACTCCAAGCTCTGATTAAACCAGTGGGGCAAACCATTCATCTACCGTATTCACGTGGTCTGAAGCGTCTTATTCCCGTGACATTCTCCAAACAACACCCATATTTGAAATATAAAATAGGACCCCTGATAAATAAATTCTGAATCATAACGATTAGCACATGATCTATGCTGGGGAAATATAGAGGCAGGGATGAAAGGGTGTGTACAAATAACATTACTGGTTCACAGGCTTCGGCTGAGCAGTCTGCCAGAGGGATGAATCAAGGCAAGGAAGGTAGCCTGCTCTAAGACCGGGAGAAGTATTGTAGGGGCATCATCAAAAAGGGCCCAAAGCCAAAAATCTCTGTGCTGAGTAGGACGAAACTCTATGAACAAGCCAGGCAAACTTGGAGCAATCAGCCAGGAATAATCTCAGACAAACGCTGGTCTGAAGAAAGAAAGTGGATCTCCAAAGCTGCCCGTGCAGCCAATCAGGTTAAAAGAAAAGGCAACTCTGTGACCCACAACAGGAATGGCACCAAAGGGCTGGGAGTGAAGTCATTTTAGCCCAGCATGACAGCTTCAGGCAGCCCAGGCTCCTGAAAGAGATTAGAAGAGTAGTTTGCAGTGACATCCTTGGTTACAAAAGGTTCGTTTTAAAAAGAAAGAGAGGAAACTTGTTTTAATGGGCTAACATTCTAAGTAGTCAAGTAAGAAGAATGAAAAATATCTTTTGGCATCAACAGAACCCCAGGCAGCACCAAGCAGAGCTGTAATATACCATCCCAGTGCTTATTTTTGCCTCAGAAGTGAAGCTCAGCAAAGCATTCTCTGCTACTTCCACAGACAATCTGTAAACAGTAATGGATAGGGAAGCAGCTCTCTGCATTAGCAATGGCAAAAAGAGGATGGTGCGCATTCACTAACCCCAGAATGTAAGTGAGATAAGGAGCAGGAAGGGGAAGAACCTAATTGCTGGTCTGATACACAAAAGGATGAGACAGTTGATCTGCACTCTGCTATTCTAATAGTATTAGCAAAGTAAAATCTCAAGAAAGAGAAGAATTCTATTTCCATGGGCACATAGGGCACAATTCCAGCTGACAGAACTTTCTGGAATAATAGAATGTTCTCTGTGCTTGGTAGTCATTAGCCAGGTGGCTGACAAGCACTTGAAATGAGCTTCATACAATTGAAGGACTGAATTTTAATTGTATTTAGCTTTTAATTAAAATAAATTTTAAATACCATGTGAGGCTAGGGGCTGCCATGTTGGGTATGTCTCCCAAAGTCCAGTCTATGCACCTTACATCTATTAACTCATTTTATAGTTACAACCCTAACAAGGTTGATGATAATCATTTCATTATCCACATTTTACATCTTTTTAAAAAACTATGGCACAGAGTGGTTAAGTAATTAACTCAACATCACACAGCTGGTTCTCAAACCACGGGCTGACTTAGGGTCCCTGGGACAACATGCATTATTCAAGGAGCAAGTCATGGTTAAGATAAACACCAGAGGCACCCAAAGTTATTTCATGTCAACGTGGACAAGTAAAGAAGGCACAGTCTACCTGTTTTCCCTGTGTTTTTCATCCAGGTTTTGTTAGAAGATTCGTTGTTGAAGCCATCAAGTTGCAGTTCCTGGTACTCTTCCCCGACACGTGCATGCTGGTCTAAAATGTCTATAGGAGACTGGTGGCGGCCCCCACAGCTGACACTAGACGTGACCCAGTGCTCAGGACCATAGGCACCTGTTGAAAGAAAACACTTTAAACCTCTTGGCTCCAAAGTCAGGGACAGAAGGAATAAAGACTAAGGCGGTCAAGTACTTCATCTCCCACTGTCCCCACTCCAAAGAGGTCAAAATACTGAAGACTACCCAACAAAGCCGTTTGCTTGATGTGGCAAGAAGAGCTCAGAATAAAAAAATAAAAAAGCTACGTTACTTAAGATAGTTTTCCTTCTTGATTTGCAATCAAACACTTTCTAACTTTATCTTTAATCAGATTAAGGGAGTTGCGCAGAAGGGCTGTCAGTGTTGTTCTCATTTCTGAAAATTTTTAAATAAGTTTTCTAAAAGAAGCAAAGTATTTATTCACAAGAAAGCATCTTAATCAATTTAGCATGTTTTGCTATTGTGAACAATAGCTTAAGTACAACTTTGTTCTTAGCTCATCAGAGTTTGTAAACTTGAAGAGGTGATGAAAAGCAACACAGGACTGGATGGGAGTCATTACAAATGAGGGAGGTGATGACACATGTTTTTCCCTGGCTAACCATGAAAGATTCTTCAATTTGGCCATAGTTTGTACACTTGAGTCAAGGCACTCATCACTCCTTCTCAATCCCCATCTCTAATAGGAGATGGAGGTTTAAAGTTACCTTCAGACTGGACTTGGCGTTCACATAAAGCCTTTTGGGAAGATACAGGCCACAGAAATAAAGGAAGAGAGAGTCACCATAAAGCAAACTTTTAACAGGTAACAACCAAGGGTAACACAAGACCCACTGCATCTGCCTCTCTGCCCTATTTAGAAATAAAGAGCTTAATTTAGAAATAAAGAGCTTAAGATTTTTCTGCATTCTACTTTAAAACTTCTTGAAAGCAGGAGTAGTTTGTTGAAAAGAAGTAACTTTCACTGGAAAGATTAAGATGAATCCTTTTTTGAGAATCAGACACAAAATATGTTGGAACCTTACAATTTTTAGAAGGTAACACATTGACTTCACAATCAATAAAGTTTAGTGTGTGTATATACATATACATATCTTCAAGGCTTTTTAGCCTTAAATTTCTATATTTAGTGTAACGTATACACATAGGTACAAAAATACTGGCTGATGGGTGGGTATTTTTGTGCCTCATTAAACACCTAGCCTGGTATGATGGAGACACAAGGAAACCTCGCTCAGTTCAGTACTATGTCTCCTCATCTTGTTAGTTTAATAGTAGGTAAGAACCTACTTACTGACCATCCTGCTACCCTGCAGTCATTTGCCAGGATGTTCTCCTTGTCTTCTAAGTCTGATATACCTCACAGCAGATATAAACAACGGCACCAGGAAAACAGGAACAAGCTCAGGAAATCTTTTCAGTCATGGTAATGAAAGCTTCGTGGCTTAAGAGCAATTGACATAGCTTCTTACAAATGACTCAAATAAGTGGCAGTACCTCAGTCTGGGTCTAATTCCCAAGTCATTTACCCAAAAGGCAGATAAAAACAATCAGAAAAAAAAAAAAAAGGTAGCTGACGGGCAAGGGTCTAGCAACCTTGGGCACATTTGTAAGTGCCATAAGAATGTCTAGAAAAAGTTGACATCACTGTTGTCTTTCCTATGGGATTTCAACAATAGAGGAATTTGTAAAATCCTCTAAGACTGTGTCTAGTCATAAAGGGACATACTACATTTGCTTATATTTTAGCTAAATTTTATTTTCATCTTCAATCTATATATTTGTAGGAAAAAAGAAGGGACATAATGGATGTAACCTTGCCTGCCCACGGTTAAGTTTTCTTCCAGATGCTAAAATAATCCATCTTTGATCTACTGGATGGCTGATCCAAATATAAATTTTGGTGAAGGACACTGACCCTATATTATGTCTGAATTATGGAAACAAATGTTTTAATCTTATGTGTATGTGTGTCTACATTAAATGCCTTCGTGAAATTTACCAGTAAAATAAAATCATATTTAATGGGGAAAAATAGCACAGAACACAGTAAAATAACTCCAAATATATATGAGTCCAAATAATAAATGCAAGTCATCATTTGAAAAAACACAGTCACCTGATAATTATCCTACAACTAGTAATAATTTTGAAAAAATACTCTGTCACGTCAAAAAAGTACTTGCCATTCATATTATTTCTCATAACCTTCCAGACATAGGTGAAATATAATTTAGCACTCTATAAAAATATAATCAGACTTCATACCAATGGGATTCATTTATTCACTGGTAACAATCTGAAGATTTAAGCTGACTACATGCTTGCTTTCACACTTCCACTCAATATACATTCAAGTGCAATTTTAATTGAAACTGATCTTCCACTTCAGATTTTAAATTAATTCTTCTTTGGAGTGCTTCATGCTCTAGACACCCTGGCCTTGCAACCCCCCCCCCCCATGTCATTAGTGGAGGAAATAGAACACTTTTTCTAAGCTTGCAGGTATTGATTACCTATTCTCACATTGAAGCACCATTGCCATTCCACACTGTATAAATCTCTTCGGTGTTAAGACACTTTATAAAAGACTGAGAATTATATCATTAATCATTTGCAGTTGCACAAGTCTCACGGTATTGAATGCTTTGTTTTTCAGAACTTTGAGTAAATGTTTTTAAGTAAAAAACATGACACTAAATAAAAACTGTAGTAAACTTAAACCTAGGTGGCACTGGGGGAGGGCGGACCAGGAGCAATTGGTGAGAAGGCTTCCTCTCTCACTTAGGACACTAGTCACGTTGCCCTTTAGATTCCTCTTACTGACTCTTTCTTAGAACAGGCTGGATTTGTGCATTTTCATGGTGAGACCCCTTGTGAACAGCTCACCAAGCTCTGACTTGACAACCTAATGTACAAGGAGACATTCCCAAAAGGGAAGAGGTGGGGTCTGAGGAGAAACCACAGGGCAGAATGGGCTGCCAACAGTAATTTCCTATTCACCTGTTAAAGGTCTGGTAGGAATGGGATCTGGATAGAGACACGTTGCCAACCTACAAGTACCATGGGAATCTGACAGTGTTCCTCATTTAACTTAGGATGAAAAATATTTTCTTTTTAATGGATTCGATAAATGTATCTGAAACCCCTAGTTAAAGGTTTGAATTCAGTGTAAATGTCCCTTTGTCAGGGACATACAGAGATTCTGGGTTTCTATGGACCTCATTATCACTTTGCAATTTACGGCTTCTTCTGCAATATGCCTTCCCAAGGTGGGAAACTCTACAAGAAGAGGTTACTCCTAGGTTCAATTTCATACCAATCCTAACACAGAGTCCTAACACATATTTTTTACTTACAAATAAGTGAATTAAAAGAAGAGATTAAAGAGTGGTACAGCTCTCCTTTCTTATGACACTATATGCTCTCTGGGCATTATTTTAGTTTTAATTTTATATATCTATCTGCTGACTTCTTACTAAGTATCCCTCACTCACTTGGTCTCCAGAGTTCGGATGTCAACTTCAGAAATAAATCTTCCTTTCTTTTCTTCGTTAATACATTAGTTTGAACTGTGACATGGAAAAATCAGCTCCAAATATGGGCTACACATGAAAGAGTATGTGTGTGAATTTAACAAGCCCACCAGAGGCGGTGATGGGGGTTGTTTTTCTTAAAAAAGTGCAGCAGGACCTTCTCTTTCAATGCCTTTATAAAACATATTTAAATCTCTCTCTCTCTCTTTTTTTTTCTATGCTTTAACAGAGCTCTCCAGTCATGGAATGGTAATCAAAGAGGAAACTCTGTCTTATTGATCAAGGCATCACCCTCGCTATTCACTTAAATATACACTCTGCTCAACACCAGGCATGATGCTAAAAAGTCCATTCTAGGAGACAGGGCTGCCCCAGTTCCTTCAGGGTTTCTTGGAAAACTTAAGCTGCCTGTGGCTCAGCTCTTCACTTGTACAATGATATCTCCATATCAAAGGGTGATTGTGAGGATTATGAGACAATCTATGTAAAGAACTCAGAGCACCATCAAACAAAAAATTTTAATAAGTAGTTTCTGCTATGGTTATAGGCCTTTATAATGGACACATACCAACATAAAAGGCTGGCCCTCAAGAAACCAACTATACAGTAGACAGTCCAAAGGGCTAATGTAGGTATTATGTGGTACCTACATATAGATGCAGGTATTTCACAGTATGCAAAGTGGGGGGAGCTCCCTTCCTCCAACAGAACTTACACAGAATGTAATACTTGAGTGGAGTAACTTCCTGGAGTCCACAGAAATTTACTAGACCCTGGTCACTTTGCCTAGGTATTTTTCCCTTGGGTAGAGGCCAAGAGTCAAAAATATAGTTGGCCTTCCTGGGAAGTGAAGCTTAATTCCATCTATGGTTGAACATACTGACTTTCTTGCAAAGATTTCGTAAAGAAAGAGAAAGATAGTAACTTCATAGTGGAGAGGCCTGACAGACATCACTTTAACCAAGTGCTGACAATTAACATCCCTGGGAAGCATGTGGTGATGGTGGACAGCTTGATACGATAGGAAGGGGGGATCACCTCCTTGGTGTTATTTCCAAAAATCTATAACCCTGATCTATTCATGAGGAATAGGACAAACACAAGTTAGGGAACACTCTACAGAATACTTGACCGGTATGCCTCAAAAATGTCAGTCATGAAAAATGGGAAAGATTAAAATGAGTCACAAAAATAAATGTAGAGTTCTCAGTAGAATAATAGAGTCAGAAATGAAAACTAATGGAAAAACTGGTGAGCTACGAATAAAGTCTGGAGTTTAGTTACTACTAATACACCAATGTTGGTTTCCTAGTTGATCTTCATCAACAGGTCATTATTGGTGGGTTATTCCATCAGCAAAATGAAAAAACATTTATGAAATTGCACAAGAAGTCAGATAAAAGTTTTGTTATACAGGTTACACTTTAATATCTAAATTTTACTGGATTTACTAGTATGCAGTAAGAAAATGTCTACAGCATAACAGATGAGGGAGATGGGCACTGACTTATAGTAGTACTAGAATTGTAGTCAAATCCTT